TTGAATTATTTTGCAGTTCAGTTGTTATATTTGCGCTAGCTAATGTCTTATTTTGTTTGTTGTGAATTGTGATGTTAAGTTTGAGACATATTAACTCTTTCAATGAAATTTTTGAGCTGCTAACATGAAGAAATTCCTTTCAGCTTACATGTCACCCCCTGTCACATTGAGTTGTTTCTATAGGAGAAAGAAGAGCCTGCCAAGAAAGAGGCAACTATCTTTGTTTCTATGGTTTTAGTTGCAGTTTGTCAAAAAAGTTATGTATTGGGTCTGTAAATGTTGATATTATAGTTTTCCCTGTTCATGAATGACTTCTTTTCCTGTTTTATTTTGTAGCCCGAGTCACAATTGACAGCAAGCAAACCTAGGAAGGCTTTATTTTGTAGCCCGAGTCACAATCGGCAGCAAGCAAACCTAGGAAGGCTTTAGCTTGAGATGGTTAGTCTGTTTTGTTCTGAATCAAATCTGTTATCAGCATAGTGAGTTATAATTTTGAGGAATATTGAAAGCATTTTTTTTTCTGCTATAGGATGTTAGTGCTTATTACTGAACAATGCATTACTGCTTTGGTACATTTCTTTTCGTCAATTACACTATAATTTATATCTATTACTTGAACTACATAAATAAGTTTATTGATCTATCTAAAGTTCATTTTAAACAAACACTAGACACAAGATATTGTGGGAAATTGATTTTACAATTAAAATTCTATTTTATAATTGCTCACAAAGAACCACGTAATAGTTGGCCAAAACTAGTATTAGTTAAATCTATGTTCTCAAACAATTATAACGTATACTCTCTTAAATCGTGTGAAAACTGAAAAATGAAATATATTTGTATGTAATAATAATGTGATTAGAAAAGAAATGTGATTAAGTAACAGTTGAAGCTTTAAAATTGTTTGTACAAAAGATTGAAATTGGTGTCTAGACATTTAATTGGTTTGATTATCATGTTCTCCCAATTAGAAGAGCTTGGTGATAAAAAGAAAACAAGCATTTCCTTCACATCTGGTAAGTAGATTTCATCTGCCTTGCCAGGCACATGTATTATTAACATTTAAATCGACTCTTGATTTTATTAGTCATCTTTTACTAAAGTTATATTTTCTTTCTTGTTTCATTTCTTTTTTCGTCTAGACGGGCCAGCTCTTGTGGGTCACATCCATTGTCCTCGAGCGGGTCGAGGCCGAGATCCAGCCCAAGGGTGGGGTTCATGGTGCCGCGCTGAGGAGGCCGATGACGTCGCCTCAGCGGAGATCATGAGGCAACATGTGAGGGTGACAGAGCAG